TGTTGTTGATTCACTTATAATATTATTACATGAAGTATAGGGGATTCAGATGCGTAATGGCGGACACCACATGCTTTAGTTTTTAGCTGTTCGTTTGTTTATCGAATAAAGCTTTGTTTGAATGAATCTTGTCGATTATTGATCTTAAATACTCCTTAGTCGTGTTGCTTCATTTCTCCACCTTTTCATTAATTCCCACGTTTCACACTTTCTATCCTTACTAAATTTCTTCGCATATTTTCTTCTCTTACGTATTGCCTCTTTCCATTCTGCATTCATGTATGGGACGTCTTTCTTTCTCACTCTCATTTTCTTCACAGGCATATGTCTGTCTATTACTTCCATGAACTTACTTTTCCAATTGGCGTACCGTTCATTAGTATCATGTGAAAAAATTTCATTCCAATTCGTATCGTTTAGATCCCGCGAGAGTTCCTCCCTATTTAAGTGCTTCATACTTCTGCACTTAATCACCTTTGCTTCATGTTGTTTAGCTGGACTTTTCTTGAGAAACGAATATACCAGTTTATGGTCACTAAGTCCTAGATCCGTCACACTCGCAAATCCGAATAGATCTGGTGTGTTAGTTAATATCACATCCAATAGAGTTTGTGTTTTTACTGTTACTCTTGTGGCCTCATTAATTAGGCACTTTAAGTTAAAAATTTCCTCTAGATCTATTAATAATCTGCCCTCACGCTCATTTGGTCTTAATCAGTCCAGATTGAGGTCCCCTGTGATTACTATTGTCTGGCACTTCGACGCGGCCCACAATAGTAATTGGTTTAGCTCATCTTTCAGTGTTTTGAAATAATTAAAAAAACACTGGAAGATGAGCTAAACCAATTACTATTGTGTGCCGCGTCGAAGTGCCAGACAATAGTAATCACAGGGGACCTCAATCTGGACCGATTAATCCCCACCCGCATGCTTTTTAATGGTCTTGTTCGCCATTATTGCCAGTTTTGACCAGTATTATAAATTTTGTGACGTCTTCAAAACGATATTTGAAAGAAAGACAATTAGAAACGTTCCCAAACCAAAAGTTTTAGTTAAAATACAAAATTTCATACCAAAACTGTGTTTCTCTCGCTTTTACCGGAAGCCAGGGGCAGGGAAAAAATGCGACGACTTGGCTACAAAATTATTTCTCTATTCTGTGATTATTTCACATGTGGAGCGGCCATGTTTTTAATATGAAAACAAGATTTCAGTTGCACTCACTAATTTTGTGCTGTTTTGCAATGCTATAAATGCTAAATGCACACTTTTTCAAAGTAATATTTACAGAGAGGGGAAACCTGGCAAATAATGGCTTAATGGGAATGGCCCGCCCTCATCAACTTTAGGTGAAGACCCGGATGAGAAACTAATATGCAACAAATAGTGGCCTATAGTAAATTCAGGTAAACCTAAAATAGCTTTGCCAGAATTTACAGGTGAACCCCTTGGTTGGCAAATAGTGTTAGCATTAGTGATATTGATAAGTTTAATTATCTCAAAGGATGTTTGAGAGGGGAAGCTCTTGCGGCCATCTCAGGTCTAACTTTAATATCAGAATTATAATGAGCAGGTGTTGATTTCTGCTCAAATTGAATCATTATTAAAAATTGAGAAGATTAGGTTGGTAGATAACATCAAAGGATTAAGGATGTTATATAATCATGTGGAGCACTGTGTTGGGAATTTCAAAGCTTTAAAGCTTAATACTAGTATGGCTCTCTTCTAATTCCCATTCTTAAGGACCAACTGCCAGATGAGATTATATCAAGACAGTTTTGTGGAAAAGTTTAGAATTTAGACAAAGTCATAGAATATTTAAACAATGAGCTTCATGCTAAAGAAGATTGTAATTTTTCCATTACAAGTAGGCCAGAGACTTCTAAGGAAACGAGAGCCATATACAGCAAGTGGACTGTTAAGTCAAACTGGTAAAAATCATGTTTATATTGTAATGAGGAAGAGCACTTTCCCTCTAAGTGTAGTATTAGAGAGGTTAAAATACCCCGGTTTTGGTGTACGGGTACGAGTAGTGTCATCTTGTTTTACTGATGTCTGTAATTCGATCATACTTTTTCTGTTTTCTTGCAATAGACAACGATATAATGTGAAAAATGTGCACCTTAAAGGACAATGGCAACAAAATTTTTTATTGTCTGTAATCATTAAACTTGCTAACGGAATACTTAATTTCATATTTTTGTTTGTCCATTGCATTTAGTTGTTCAGAAAATGTGCGAAAATGTTTAACAAATTTTAACAGTTGTCCGCCATCTTGGGAAAATTCCGTGTATGCTAATTTATGCATGAATACATTTGGTGAAGTAGATGGCAGGGTAAACACAAATCCCACAATATAAGTTATACTGTAAGAACGTTGAGATTTGGAAGAAAATGTTTACAAAAAAATTACAGATACACGGCAACGTGTATTAATAGTTCAATAATGTGTAGCAACTTACTACCAATGGTCTGTGATTGTGTTTTCGACAGTTAAGCGTATATTTGCATTGTAAAATGCGCTTAGACATTGACTCCGGTTATAGTAGTTCTGCTGTTCCAATTACATGTCATATATTCAAATTGTATGTATATATGTATATCATATACATTTATGTATGTGCATGCTCTGTTGCAGAAATATAGAAGTAATTTGCATTGAAATAAAAGATTCTACTGAGTATTTAATGTATCAAAGTATTGTTATTATTATTAATACAAAAATCATTCAATGAACTGCAACAATGTTAACTGATGTTGTAGTGGATAATTCCACTGTGAGGCACACCAGCCTTAGACGAAGCATTTTAAAATCTCGTGCCAGAATTCACTGGCCGTCAACTTTGGAAAACATTGACTGCACAAATTCTATATTAAAGGGTGAATCAAAATCATGATAGGTAATTGATCATGATTGTGAAGAGAAAATATACTTCTATAAATGCAGGCCGGCAACATATATTTAGCTGCAGATTTCACAACTATTG